AATCATCGCAGCTGATCCACTGGTGATGCTGATGAGGATGTACTTCAGATCTGCTGACATTTGGATGTTCTCGTTGGCTTCTTCTGTTGTTGATGCTGCTCCTCGTAGTCTTGCCTCATCAATGAGGGTGGCTGCTGCTGCTGTCTAGTCTAGCAGTAGTGGATACCTGTTGTTTGTGAGTCCCATGTATGCTGTGAATTTGTACTTCCATTCCTCGAAGTGTGCATAGTTGCCGTCAAATGTTGGTGGCTTGATGCGGTACTTGTGTGAGCTTGCCGCCATTGTCAAGAAGTCCCTACTGGCCCGTTGCTGATCAGTAGATCAAGCCTCTCCGGCAATGGCTGTTGATGCTATGCTTTGTTGTTGTGACTGATCGGTTGATCAGTTGAGCAGCCCGGATCGTTTCCAGGTCTGCTCCGCTACCATGTGAAGTTTGAAGTATTGTTGAACTGTTTGCTGAAATGCTCGCGCCTTTTGTTTGTACGTTGAATGTGCTCAAGGGCCCTAGTGTTGAGCCACAATGTTGAGGTATATCTCCCTCAATGTTGGGAACAGTGTCATGTTGAATTTCACATCTCTCCCTGTGTCTGTGCGTGCGTACTGGTCCAGCGCCCCTGGCATGCCAGGCCCATCCTGAATCTTAACACGGTGAACCCATGACAAGTGCCTTGGCACCTACACGACCTACACACATATGCCTTCCCAGACTCATCGCTGTCTTCTCGGGTTGCACCGTACCTTCTCACAGCCCATCTTTGTCAGCGGCGCCTCCTCACCTATGAAACTCACAACATCTGCCCAGCTCCTAAACAAAGATGCGCGACCCTCGCTCACCATCTGGCCCAGCAAGTCTACTCCTTGTAAACATGACGCTTCTACCGCGCCAGTGTCCTCAATAGGTCTTCGGAAAGATCACTGTCTATTGAATGCACTGCTTGATGCCAAGGGGGAAGCCTGTTTCCATCCACATTGGAAGAACCGATCGCTCAGGGTCGTTGGCGTCCTCGAGGATGGGTCTCCACAGCTGGATGGGCCGCGTCCAACGGTGTCCTCAGCCTTGAACTCCTTCATCATGGACCGTAGATGCATTACATCTTGGTCGCCATTCAACCCCACTCTGTCACGTTCTCTTCACTCCACGATGGTCTCCTCTTTCTTTGCCTCCAGGCCCAGGCAAGGCGTACGAATCTCGGTGTGTTTGAGGAGCATTGACTGGAAGGAAGGACCAATGCCAAGGCCAATTCCTTAATGAAGATGAGCTCGCTACGCCGCTACACGTTGCTTTTTCTTCGTAGTCCTCACATCGTACAGTATTGCGTCCGCGCAGCACTATACGATATAAAGCCACCCCTTTCAAATACGCACTGCTTCCAAGAAAAGTCTTACGCTGTCTTTTTCATTCGTTTACTGCATTGCGTCTTCTTCTAGCACATTGCTTGAAATTCACTGTGCTTGCATGCAAAACCCCTGCTACTGACTCGATGAGCGTGCGTCCGGAAAGGAAAGAGAATCTCTGCGTCTCTGCACATGAAACACATTATCATATATCGCAGATACGACCACATTGTTCTTTCTGTTGTTGTTATTGGCACGGCTTTACGTACAAACTCTGCGAAACCCTCACTCTTGCACACTTCCCGTATAAATGCCCTGAAATACTTACCACTTTTCTGCATGCTCTTACTTTTCACGCTCCCGGGCCATCCGTCGTCTAATTTCTTTTTGGAACTTAGCCTCCCACAGGTGTTCGAATTCTTGTGGCGCTCTGTCGGGTTGTGTGATGCTCTTTTCCTCAATCAAAGGAGTGCTTTGAAACTGGTGTGGATGCAACAAGGAAAGTAGAGAACTCAAGGCCATAGGTCACGAAGTCCCCTCTCGCAAAAAGACAATTGCCAACCATGACCTTGCAGAGCCTTCTAATTTTTTGAGCTGGTTGGTTTGAAGCCGTTTGAACCCATTCTTGAACTGCTTGGAACCAACATTTTTTGGGCGACTTTTCAGCACCTCCACTTGAAAAGGCATGGATCTCTTTCTTTCACTCGGTGGGGTTGTTTGCAACCTTCCCGGTGGAGATTCCTGATTGGGCGTGCCGAGAGATCTGGAGTGGGGAGATGCGAAGAGGGATTAATTCCAATATACAACCACTGCGAATATCTATTTGCACCACGGTTGATTTTGAAGGCAAAGGCAGCAGCAACAAGGACATTGGCGTTGCTTGTCTACTCAACTCTCCTCTATATAAAGCCACCGGTTTGTGTTCTCTGAACCCCTCTGAAGAAGTTGGTGAGAACTTCTCGGCCTGAGAACAGGGACTTTTATTGTTTTGTTCCCAAGTTTTGCTGCAACCAAATATGCAAATACCACAGCCTTTGGATCCCCTTGGCTTCAGGAAATGCATCGATAGGGCGTTTGCCTTAGCAGAGTCAAAACTTGCTTTGTCGTTGGACAGCCCTTTCCTGTTTCGAGGTATCCAAATGCCTGTGGAGGCAACTTCAGAAGATCCGCTTGACATTTTTCTTTTTGTTTCTTGCGCACAACAAGCATTGTAGACTAGTCACAAGAATAACTGGAATTGAAACGTGAATATTTTGTCAAGCCTTCATGCTGTTCTTTGTAAGTTTGGATTTCAGAATTGGAGCAAATTAGAGCCCCAGACGGTCAAGTAATGGTCAGCCGAGTGATCAGTGTGAGTTAGAATTCTTGAAGCTGTTGGAAGGCAGGGCGGGTAGATGATAGCCGACAACAACCCAGCATTATGGGATTGGTGAACTTGCTATTTTGATTCAAGGGTGCAATCTCTGTTCTTCCATGTACTGAAGCACTGAAACCTCTCAAAGAGCGGACTCTAGTAGTGAGCAACAGTGGCAAGGATCAGACGTTGCTGTTTCCCAAGAGCCTAGCCTTGCGGGTTGATTCGATTTGCATGCCCTACACGTTCCGCTTGAAATCAGAACCGCCAACCGCGTAGGTACCATGCCGGGTCCGGGCCCAGGTTCGTCAGCGCCTAAGCTCAGTTTTTACTGTTTATGTTTTGATTCATGACGCCTGCAGGGACATTTCTTCGTATTCAATCAATCAGCCTTTCATCGGATATCATTGATTTCCTTCTTGTTTTTGCTGAGTGCAGGGTTCTTCTCAAAGAGGGGTGGTTGAATCACATCTCACATCTGTGCGAATATATATATATATACATCTCTCACATCTTACAAATTTATCTTTATGGAGGTTGCCAAGGTGTGAAGCTGTCGTGGAACATGAAGGTTGAGATGGCCAAAGTGCGAAGCTGTCGTTGAGCACGAAGGTGTGCGTGTTGACAAAGTGTGAAACTGTCCTTGAACATGAAGTTGCTTCTCACCAACTTATCTTGATATCCCATGCGGTTTGGTAAGGCCTTGGTGGAAAGTGACCTTTGCGTGGCTTCATCCCATGGGGGAACGACAAGCATGCATGTGTAAACGCGGCTTCGCTGGTGAGGACGATTGGTGGTGTCAGCGCGGCTTGATGTCATAGTGTTGCATTTTGACAACTTGGAAAGTGCGGTTGCATGGCTCCTTGAGTAGATACAGACAAAGACATGTGCGAACGCGGCGTGTCGCTGGTGAGCGGGATGCTTGTCGCAGCATTGCACCAACAGTGGCATACGATGTGGAGAAGCCACTAGTCACTAGGTCTGTGATGTCGCTGTGCCATGGGGTTTGGCGAGACCTCGGTGGAAAGCGTGTTTGCGCGGCTCCGCGCCATTGGGCCCTGGAAGCATGCGTGTTTTAACGCGGCGTGTCGGGGTGGCGAGGAAACATGTTTGAACGAATGTCGATACGCTGCATGCTGCGAATGTTTGGCTTGTTTCACTTCCACTTTACCTTTACCGCCTTCACTTTTGTGGACAACTCTCCCCAGTCACATTTTATCCACTTATTATTGAGCGAACCTTCTTGTTGACACACCTTCTTGCTACCACTTCTCTATTCAATCAAAGCCTCAAGGCTCAGGGTTATCAAAAGGTGGACTTGCAGTATCGTATTCTTTTTGTGGGGGGCACACAAGCCATCAAAGCTTGAGTCTCTATCAAGAGTTTGCGTTTCTGTCATCATGTTTCGAACAACTTGTGGTTTTACCGATCATGTTTTCGAGGCTTCCATTTGGTCAGCCATCGCCTGGTCCAGCCAATATGGGTGGGCATCCCACTGGGTTGTCCCCGGAGTGGCAGTTTCTAGGTGCTCAGGTTGTTCGCATCTAAGGTGGCATTCGAAACTTGCAGGGAGCTTTGATGTGTGCAAGGGCACTAGAGCAGCCGAAAACACCGCATGCGCTGCCAAAATGAATATTTTCAAGCGGTTACCGCGTCGTGCGCAAGGAATTATGACCCCTTTGCCGAATGTGAGACAGGCGCGTGCTCGGAGTTTGCACATGTTTGGAGTTTGCTCTTGGAAAATCAAACAATGTCCGGAATCCCTCCCGTCTACTCTTTGCTTGACTGAGGAAAATGACGTTTGTGACTCATGCAATTGTGGCGTTTCTGCCGCGTTTTCCAAGAATTGGAATTCTAGTTGTTGAGGTGAGACATCTATTGTTTAGGATTGTTGGAAGTAAGACGCCAAGGAATTGTCCTAGCAACAAAACAACCTTTGTGGCTACACTGAGTGTAGCATGTTGTTCCTGTTGCCCTTTCCTTGTGGGCGCCAAATGACAGCCCTATTTGCCACAACAAGAGCTCAAAGCCAGCCATTGCCGGGTGCAGAAACCGCTTGCTTCATTGTATCATGTTTGCAGTGCCATTCGAGGTTGTGCCAGTGAATTCTAGTGCCCAACGAGATGCATCCTCGCGGAGTGACAGAATGCTTTTGATGGCACCCTCAATACAACCAGGCTCCAGTGCAGGGAATGCAAGGCTGGATGAATGGAAAAGGCGGCAGAGGCATACATGCAACAACGGAGCCCTAATTTGACCTCAGCCACAAAAGCAACACACCAAACTTAGGAAAGTGGACACAGCATGACGCAGCTTGACTCGAGACCCTCAAGACATGATATCACCGGGTCAAAGCGGAGCTCGATGTGATGCTGCGCAAATGCCTCGGACAATACAGCACTGAATTGTATTTTCTCTTGTATTATTATGATGCTTCTCGTTGTGGACTCACGACACTTAGCCAATTGAGAAGATTATTTTGTTCTGTTTGCTTTTGAGGTGGCTGGCTTGACATTGTTAGAATCAACCAATGGCGACGGCTGAGTGTAGAGCTAAGAGATGCCAAGAGCCAATTTGAGAGGAGAGAGCTTCGGGTAGGGATTTTGGGCTTGAGGTACAAGCACTCGATTTTATGGCGCGGAGAGGAGCCGACTTGATAAAGTAAACTGCCTTTTTGGTGCCATTGCGTGCAAGACATTGCAGGACCCGACCAAAACAAGATTCAAGCCAGCTTATGATGGGTCCAAAAAAGTCACTAGGTGAGCCACACCAGCCAAGCAGTGCATTTGACACCTTTCTCAAGGTGGTGAAGTCACTCCATGCCTTGAGGTATCGCCGAGGACAGGCACCAGAATGGGCCGAAGAGGGAAAGAAAGTGCAGAAGCGCCCTGACCTTAGTGTTCCATCACCAAGGTCAGGCTCAGTGCAAAGAGACGCTAGAATTTCCAAATGTCCTCGAAGAATCCATTGGCCATTGCGATTTTTACCTGTGAAAAGAAAGATGTCACCGCGAACCAGTGGTTAGCCACGGGTCGTAGGAAGACAACCTAATAATATTGTCTTACCTAGCGGGTGTCGTTTTGTGGCCGCTGGTCCATACCAGGGCGATGAAGAAACATGTCTTGAAAAGGTATGTGGCGGGTATTAGAAGCGTCAAACGTTATGACCAAAGGAGATATAGGAAATATGGGAACGTTATGCGGACGACAGTCGAAGGTTTGCAATGTTATGTAGAAGGCCTTGACAGCGGTTTGGCATATATTGAATTGGTGATGTCCCTGGTCATTGTTGATCACTTCTTCTTTCTCTGAACGCTTTATGTTTCCCCATATCAACACATTCCAGAATACAACGCTGTGCAACGGCTCTGGACACTGGCTGCCGGATGCCGAGACCTATGGTTATTTGACCAGGCCTTCGACGTCTGAACCATCGTGGGAACTGTTTAGTTTCCTCCATGCATTTCGTCGCCCTTCTACAGTACAACTGTCTGCATCCACACGACTCCGTAGCTCAGACATTCTAAAGCCATCCCATATTCCTATTTCACGGAAGTTTTGCTTGGACAGTTGACTCGCACAAGTTGCAGGGAGAGAGCCAACACCAGCCGCAACTCAACAACCAAATTTGCAACTCGTTCCACCAAACTCACCAAACCTTTGTTCTTTGCGTCCAACACGTCATGCCTACTCGTATCATGTTCTGAGTCCTGATGGATGGTCGCCTAAACATTTATGCAGTTAGAGAAGCCAAAGGCATGCTTTTGCCAGGGTATTTCTGTATAATTTCAGCAGTCTAGTTCGTACCTTGTGCTAGCCGGGTCGAAGGCGCCAAAACGATCGGCGGGGCCACCATCATTCCTCTGAGGCCTTGCCAGTCTATTTGTTGTAGACGTGGCAATAGTTCGATCTGTGAAAGGCCTGAAGACATCTCAAGCAGTCATAGGCATAGGAGAAAGCTTTAACTGCGGAGGGACTTGGATGACACACCGAGTGCTGAGCTTCCAATAAAAGACCACTTCATTGACCGTGACACACAGCGATGGCTTGACCCTCAGCCTGAGCGATTGCGGCTACCAATCTTATCTTGGCTGGTTGGAGGCCATCGCTAGTAGGTTGGAGGCCATCCCTAGTAGGTCGGTTGGAGGTCATTGCGAGTAGGCTAGGTTGGAAGCGAAGCTTCTAGGTTAGAGGCCATCGCTAGTAGGTTGAAGGCCATCGCTAGTAGGTTGGAGGCCATCGCTAGTAGGTTGGTTGGAGGTCATTGCTAGTAGGTTAGAGGCCAGCACTAAGGTTGGAGGCCATCACTGCTTGTAGTTGGTTGGAAGCCATCGCTTCTAGTTTGGAGGCCATCCCTAGTAGGTTGGAGGCCATCACTAAGGTTTGAGGCCATCGCTACTTGTAGTAGGTTAGAGGCCATCGCTAGTAGGTTGGAGGCCGTCATTGCAAGTAGGTTGGAGGCCATCCCTTCTAGGTTGTAGGTCACCATCACTATATAGTAGGTTGGAGGCCATCGCTAGTAGGTTGGAGGCTATCACTAGTAGGTTGGAGGCCATCGCTACTTGTAGTAGGTTGGAAGCCATCGCTTCTAGGTTGGAGGCCATCGCTAGTAGGTTGGTTGGAGGTCATTGCTATAGTAGGTTGGAGGCCATCACTGTGCTTGCCCTCGTGTTCGGCACCTGCTTGACCTTCGGGCCTGGCCCCACTTGCGCCTTGGCTTGGCCACAAGCCAAGAGGCCAAGAGGATGTTATTTAAGCGATTAGGTGGCAACTCATTGGGGGGCAACATGTGCAAGAAGGTTCTGCCATCGCCATAGCTATATTAGTATTTGGTATAGGCTATAGGCTGTGAACAACTAGACGACGGTTGGCCCGAGAGCGAGACAGGTGATTGTCCAGCACTGTCGAGTCATGAAACAATTAAAATCGAGTTGTCCAAGAGCCATGACTTCTTTATACAATCTGTTATTGAGTAAGAAGTTGCGAAGAAATTGAATCTAAAATATGAAGAGAAAAGATATGTAGAAAGAGAGAAGAGAGGGCGGATGTGAAGGAGTGACAGTGTGGATGTGCAGGTGCGATATAGATGCGCAGATGTGTGGAGGTGGAGAGGTAGGTCTACAGATGTGAGCGTGTGAAGATGTAAATGTACAGAGGTGAGAGAAAAGATTTGTAGAAAGAAAGAAAGAGAGGGCGGATGTGAAGGAGTGACAGTGTGGATGCACAGATGTGATATAGATGTGCAGATGTGTGGGTGTGTGGAGGTAGAGAGGTAGATCTGCGGATGTGAGCGCGTGAAGATGTACATGTACAGAGGTGAGGGGGTGTAGACGTATAGATGTGCAGATGCAACGGCAGCGCAGCGTTGTGGGTCAAGCGCAACGTTGAAGAGGTTCGAATCAAACTGATATAAGTTATAAAGCACACCAGCGACACGCCGCGTTTACACCAGCGTGTTTCGCGCTCCCCAGTGGCACGGCGCCACGCAAACGCACTTTCCACCAAGGCCGCGCAAATCCGCACGGCGCTGCGACATCACGGACGTAATTCGCCACACGGTCTGCCCACACACTGAAGCAATCCTATCACACGATACCGCCAATCATCCCGCTCACCAGCGACACGCCGCGTTTACACCAGTATGTTTCGCGCTCCCCAGCGGCACGGCGCCGCGCAAACGCACTTTCCACCAAGGCCGCGTAAATCCGCATAGTACTGCGACATCACGGATGTAATTCGCCACACGGTCTGCCCACACACTAGAAGCAATCCTATCACACGATACCGCCAATTGTCCCGCTCACCAGCCTCAGCAACACGCCGCGTCTACGCCAGCATGTTTCGCGCTCCCCACGGCGCCGGCCGCGCAAATCCGCATGGCACTGCGACATCACGTAATTCGCCACACGGTCTGCCCACACACTGGAAGCAATCATGTCACCCTATAGAAGCAAACACTTCTCGGACTACATTTAACTGGCCACTTCTGAGTCCAGCTCCGAAAAACTCTTTCCCGCAAATTTGCACTACAAACAGGCCAGGTCCGAGTCCAGCTCCACACGTGAAGCGCCAAGTCTCCAAAAGGAGCGTTTCGAGACTTCCTCCAAAAGTGCGAAGCGGCGAAGCGCCAAGTCTCCAAAATGAGCGTCTCGTACGAGACCGCCAAGTCTCCAAAACGAGCGTTTCGCACGAGACTTCCTCCAAAAGTGAAGCGCCAAGTCTCCAAAACCAGCGTTTCGTAAAGTGCCAAGTCTCCAAAACGAGCGTTTCGTACGAGACTTCCTCCAAAAGTGCAGCGCGCAATCTCGCCTGCATTTTCGCGCCCTCGACACGCGCGATCTCCGCAGAGGGTTGCGCCGGACCGGGCCAAAACGCAATCTTGCCTGCGTTTCGTGCCCTTGACACGCACGATCTCCGCAGAGGGTTGCGCGCGACCAGGCAAAAACGCAATCTCACCTGCGTTTCACGCCCTCGACGCGCACGATCTCCGCAGAGGGCCGCCCGCGCCAAATCCAAAACGCAAACTCACCTTCATTTCGCGCCCTCGACACGCACGATCTCCGCAGAGGGTTGCGCCGGACCAGGCCAAATTGCAATCTCGCCTGCATTTCGTGCCCTCGACGCGCGCAGTCTCCGCAGAGGGTTGCGCCGGACCGGGCCAAAACGCAATCTCGCCTGCATTTCGCTCCCTCGACGGGCACGATCTCCGCAGAGGGTTGCGTTCCGTGATGCTCCGGCGGCGCCGCCCCCCCGGCCTTAAGAGAGGAAGTAAAGAAGAGCGAGAGGTGAAGATGTGTGATGTGCAGATGTGAGGATGTGAAGATGAGCAGAGATGTAGATGTCCAGAAGAGCGAGAGGTGAAGATGTGAGATGTGCAGATGTGAGGATGTGAAGATGAGCAGAGATGTAGATGTCCGGATGTGAAGAGGAGAGAATGTAGATGTGCAGGGATGATGTAGATGTGCAGATGTGAAGATGTGTCATGTAGATGTGTGAAGATATGAAGATGAGCAGAGAGATATAGGTGAAAATGTAGATGCGCAGAGGTGAAGATGTGAAGATGTAGACGAGACGTAGTTCTGCAGATGTTTTTTTGCGAAGAACCGTTCGCAGGCGCTCTCGGGAAAAAAGCATGAACATTCAGCTGCCAGCTTCCATAGCTTTCACGTGTGGCCCTCCCCATCAAATCCCGGAACATGTGTGATGACCAAGGCCGTTTTGAGCTGCATCAAGATGCATGCATCCGATTGTGTTTCTGCCTTGAACAGTTTTTTAAAGTTCTGGCTGCATCTTCCTACCTATTGCGTTACCAGGGCATCGACTATGAAAGGGACAACCTAACATATTGAATGCTCTTTGTGGTGATTCGCACTTTGAGGGTGCAACTTCAAACACCCGGCCCAGTTTCAGCTTTCTACTCAACAGACCGCATACCTGCTTAGCAACAGGAAGATGACGGAAAGATGTGTTTTGTGGACTTGTAGGTGCACAGGTCACCCACCTTGCCACCATGAGCTTCTAGCAGGAAGCAGATCCGATAGCCATGAGAGGGTTTGTTGGCAACTCCTGCTGGGAGGTATTCAGGTATTGCTGCTCAATCATTTGAGATATTGGATGCTGTTTCATGTGTTTTTGTTCCACGTTTGTCAAGAGTGCAATTGTCCAACTATCACGACTGCAAACTGTGGGACATTCAGATTCAGCCTTTAGGGTTTGAATTTAGTCAGTAGAGAAACGATGATAAAGCAGCAGCGCCCCAGTGCACCTCCTCCCAGGTCAAGAAAAACCAGAAGAAGACCTGCGGAAGGACGGAAAAACACCGAATTCGCCGAAGGGATCTTCCGGATCCTTTGCAGTTACTTTTCTCCAACATTACTTTTTAGATTTTCCTCGCCTCACATTTTTGTGCGGGGGTCTTACTTTTACTGTGCATTCCATCCACCACCTCCTCCGCCTTCTCCTTCTCCTTCGCTTACACTGCGCCAACTCAACTCACATCAACTCATCTCACCCACGCACCCACTCCCTCCCTCTGTGATTTGTAGGGTCCTAGGTTCCCCTAGGCGTGTCTACGCTATACGTGTGTAGCACCTTTTCCTTGTATATACTGTTGTCCGTATCTTCGTAGCTCTATACTATAGCTTAACTCATGTGTACTTTTGCATTGTACCACTGCGCAGCCATAGAAAAGTCCGAGCTCACTTCGAAGTTCGCTCGCGACTACCGCTTCGGGCATACTTGGTGTTTTTGATTAGGTCCAGCGTCATAAGCCGCCTTGGGGAACTCACCCCTGAAAGTGGTAGCGGAGCTTGTATCTCCTGCTTCGCTTCGTCCAAATTCACTTCGTGTCTGTGTGTTTCTTCGATATTCCGGACAGGAGACAACCAAAGCTTGCCCACTGTCTGAAAAGTAGTGACCACGGTCCAGATCTTTAACGTAGACACGGACAACGAACCAGAGTATAGTCAGGAAGAGTCGGAACCTGATCAGAAGCTCTATATATTCCGAGCCCAGCAATCAAGGTCTCTATATATTTGCAACATGCGAATCGAAGCCGATGCATGGAGTCACAGCCCCATCCTTTGATGGACAGTCGTCGTGGTTTGAGGTTAAAGATTTGATAGACGACTGGGTAAATAGTACCACACTTTCGGCAGAGAAGCTGGGTCCTTCGCTCAAAAACGCCTTGACCGGAAACGCAGAGTATTATAAGAAAATGCTCGACAATCAGCAGCTTCGCGACGAGAGGCGCGGTGTTGAGTACTTCAAGGACACGTTGCGCCCGTACCTCGTCAAAGGAGCAATCACGTTTTCCTCTGGCGTTTTACGCAGCGCTTTAAGACCTGGCGCGGAAACGGTGAATTTGTCAGTTGGGTTGCTCGCTTTGAACTAGCAAGTAAGAGCCACTCAAAGTCGACAAGAGCGTAGAGAAATTGCCGATAGGGTCAGAAACAAATACATCGACAACATGAAAGCCGGACATCGTGACATTTTCCCATTGTCAGACAACCTGATGTCGCTTATCTTTGTTGTCCATTCTGATCTCAATGAACAGCGCAGAGAGAGTTTGTAGCCAGCGTGTCTTTACGTCAAGTAGGCGTGAACAACTATACATACATGGCAGTGAAAGGCTTATTTCTTGATCTCTTTTGCGAAACCGCCACAGGAACTGCCGACCCCTCGATTTGCGCGCAGAAAAGATCAACTTTCCTTGTCCTCGATGAAGGAGACTTGGAGGAAGAATCCGGTTACTGTGTCATGGATCAGGGCACAGGCGCAGAATCAGGATTTGCGAGTTAGTTCTCAGAATGCGATTTTCGGGTGTTGCAAGCCAAAGGAGGATACGCCTGTAGGAGAATTCATGGAAGAAGGTTCAGAAAACCATCCAAAGGCGGCAAGGGAAAAGGCCGCGGAAAAGGTAGACGACCCAGATTCACAAGCCGTAGAGGCAAAGGTGCAGGTGCGCATTATGCAGAGTATCCTGACAACTCCGCTATGGAAAAGGCAAAAAGGGAAAGAAAGGTGGAAAGAACGATTTCAAAGGAAAAGATGCATTTACAAGCAACTTAAAGGCAGGCGACAGAACCAGAATCAGCAGTCAAGTGTTGCTATCAAAGAGCCTTCATCAGCTCAGCAAAATCCCAAGGCCGAAGAAGCTTGGAGCGCTCACGAGGCAAGTTGGTCATGGCGCTCTTATGGTAATCGTGTTGACCAGTACAGTTATCCAGATGATATATGGCAGGCAAATGAAGCCTCTTGGCAACAATGGACATATTACGCGGGGGGACAGACGAATCCGAGTCATGACGAGCATTTTTGGTCAAAGCCAAGGCCTGACCAGAGCAACCAGCCGACCGATTTTCGATATGACGGTAATCTTGCGGTGTCGAACGTGTTTCACAACGGTATCGCCTAAACCCTCCTGGCAGTGGTACGGATTGCCGATATTCCGGTGATTCTGAAGCAGTAAATCCATGTTTCTGTTCTTCTTTGTCAACTTCGACGATGTGTTCCATCATGCATTGCTCAGTGAATACATCGATCTGACCTGAGGTATTCTCCCGCCTACGTCATCATTGACTCCGGATGCGCTCGAGCTATGCAATCCAGGACTGTCGTCAACCGCTTGGTTCGCGCGCGCAGGACTCACAAAAAAACGCGCAAGATCAGCTTTCTTTTTGAAGCATCATCTAACCGTTTTTCATTTGCAAACGGCGAGCAGTCCAACGTCCGTGAGAAACTGGTGATTTACTTTGAGAATGACTTAAGCACCCTCTGGGTGGATCTCAACTGCGTTCGAATTTCCCGACCAAGGCGGCGTACCAAGCCATTAGGAACCTTCGCGCGTCCATCGAGCGCACGCCGGCCGGTGACTATTTGATTTGCCCACTGTTCGGCTTGAAGCGTTTTTCGTTGCCAGTCAGCGCATCGAACCACAATGTCTCAAACATCATGATGTTCGCCAGCTCTGTTATACTCTGTTCGTAAGCCGAATCACAGTTTCACAGCCGTGAGCCTTTTGTTTGCAGCGTGCCCAGCCTGTAACAGTAAACGCCGGGCGCATACTTTATAGACGGCTGCAAGAAGGCAAGTCCATCCGATATTCCGGATGACAGAAATGTCAAACCGACAGCTTCCACCGATATTCTGGTTGAGAAGAAGCCAGAAAAGAAGCTCTCCAGCGGAGATTCCAAGATCGAACCGCCAAAGCTGATTTCGATGCTACCTCCGGCTAAGACAGTGACACCTCCGACATTCTCAAGGAAAAGTCACCGGATTTCGGAGCACCTGTTGAGCATTCTGCAATTCCGAGTTCCAGTTCAGGAGCCAAGAAGCCCGATGCTCCTGCAGCAGATGAGCCGGTGAAGTCAGCGCCTCAGGAAGAAAAGAAAGAAGAAGAACCAACCATTGAACGGAGTGAAAAGAAGGATCCAAAGGTTTCCATGACTTTGCTGTTAGCTTTAGTGCAGAGAAACCACGAAAAGCTGTCTCATCCACCTGAACTTCTCAAACTGCGTCTGAAACACAAGCACATGTCAACCGAACAGTTCAAGAAACAAACTTTTCAGCTTTGAAGATCCCTGTAAAGATTTACGACGAATATGTATGACAAGGTGGGCAGACAGTGTGAGACCTGTCAGAAGTCTAAGATAGCGCCTTCTCGATCAAGAATTTCAGGCGTGAGAAGCGAGACCTTCGGGGAAGTCACCTTTGTTGATCACGGTGAACTCGCTATCAATGAGCAGTTCAAGCTTTTGTTCTTAGCATTTATGACGGCGCCACTTCATTGACCACTGCCCACGTATGTAGCGGCAAGACTGAAGCAGAATCCATTGGACATCTTTTGGAGTACTTTTTGAAACATATCAACCGAATCCTAAGTATATTGTCGGTGATCAAGGTTTCATGGGTCTTGAACTTGAAGCCTTTTACAACAGAAAGAACATCCGACCAATTACTTTAGGACCTGGTACTCCATGGCCAAACAGAGCTGAAGCAGCTGTTCGCATGCGCAAAGGGCAGATCGCCCTGATGCTCAAGGCCGTGACTGAGGATCCATCAAGATACGAGTTCTCCAAACGTCAACTCCTCAGAGAAGCATCGCTAGCCAGGAACTCAATGGTAACAGTTGGTGGAGTCTCTGAACTAGAGATGGCATTTGGTAGGCGACCTGCTTATCTTTTGTATCAAGACAACATGTCACCTGAACAGTTAACTGCTTCACTTCCTTCTCCTGAAAAGAGCATTGATGCCCTCAGAACACTTGCCATGAAGTCCTACCTGGAAGCTAAACAGTCAGACGACCTCAGACGAGACATGTCTGCAAGACTTCAGCTGAGTAACGGTCCATTCTATTATACTGGACAGAAGCGCGTCCAAGGTTAAATCCGACGGAACACGCAGTGGTAAACGGATTAAAGGCAAGATAATCAGTTCTCATGGCAGTATGGTTGGTATAGGTCTAGGCGCTCGTATTCTAAAGGTCAACATCAGCAAGGCCGCAAGGATTCCAATCCAGTAGAAGTTGTAAGTTTTTGAAGTGCCGTTAGATCCAGTTGCACTTCTGACTTCTGAGCGTCCTGAGTCCGATATTCCGGTCACTGACCATGCCAACTCTCTTATCCAGAGAGACGGAGCACAGATTGGCGATGAAGGTTGCGCGCATTCCTCTTACGCGTACACATGGCAACCTGTTATGTTTGGTAAGATTGAGGTTAAGTCGAATGGTTTGAGAGTTGGGCAGCCGATTGATCTTCTATGTTGGAGTTTGGCTGTCGAATTGCCATATTCCAAATTGAACACGGTGGTCATTGATCATTTCACTATTGTGAATCCAGCTTCATCAGCTTTATGGTACATCGCAACTTAGTGTTGCCTATGGAACTCTTGACATGTGTTCATTTGGAATGAAGGGCCCCAACGGCTATCACTACAATTATAGGACCGGATAACCCCACATGTCAACAGCTTCACTGGACACAGGAGCGGACTTGGTGGTTGGCGGGTGACGACCGACCTGCTTTCTGTGCTTCCCCACTACTTAGTGAAGAAGACTGCGCATGGAACCATGCTGTTGGAAGCCAAAGGTCTCGAGCACCATCAGGCACTCCTCCGCCAGAATAATAGGCTCTGCATATTGTTGCCACGCCTGACGGCGCAGTTTACATCCCACGCAGAGCTTCTTCGCCGTATTCAATTAGAAGACTTGAATGGCTTATTCACGCAGCCACTTTTTGTGTCATCTTCGGCGAAGTGGAGGAGTTGACCGATGGCGGCATAACCGCCGATGACGGTGCGCGGTAGTTT